CCCTTGAGAAGGCTAAGGCCCCTTAGGTTGATAAGATTTTTATTTATTTATTTAAAATACAGCATCTGGTCCCTTCAGGGAAAAGCCGATGACGCTGTCAAAGCTGCTTCAACTTTCGGTGTGGACAACAGTTGTCACATAAAGCAGATTCCTCTCTTTTATTAACAAGTTGGCTTTGTTTTGGTTGGGTAATTCAGGGGGGTTTGTTTGTTTGTTTTTAAAATCAACTTTGCATTGGGCTCTTAAGAAATCCTAAGTGTGCAACACCAGGGCAAACAGGTTTTCTGGCCACAACTCAAACAGGAAACCCAAACTGGCTGAGCCTGAAAGTAATTTGTTTTCTGAATTGGTTTTCTGTTGTTCTTTCCCCATCTGGGTTAGCACTGAGCATGGCACTTCCACTGGCACTTCTTGCACAGGAATTCTTATTCAGAGCAGGTTCAAATGCTGAAGCTGGAGCCTGATTTTCAGCAGAAAAATCAGCTGCAGTTCTGGCACTGTCATTAACCCCAGAAAGGCTGGATGAGGGCAGTGAAGGAAGTGCAGATTTCCAAATTGATTTTCCACATCAATTCAGTAACACAATTCTGTGTTACTGAATCCCCAAATACAAGATCAGACTGTCCAGAGTTAATGTTCTAACTGTTAAATCACATCCAGATTTCAGACCATACATCATATGTTAAGAATGGAAAATATACTTAATACACAGCTATTTGGATTGCTCTCTGTGTTAATAATTCTTCTTAGTTTCTTCTACTTTTATCCAGTAAAAGACACAACAGTGCACCAAATGAAAAGCTGAATAGTGAATTACACATAATACACCACAATTCTTTAATATACCTAACTTATCTACCTATATTTTCAACATTACCAAATATTATCACGAGGTATTGTTGGTTTCTTGTTAGCAAAAGGAAAATAGAGGTCAAGCTTGCTGAATAGGGCTCAGATACACTGGGATTTGAGGGAGACATATTTATCATGAGAGATTCCCGAGACAGCAGAGCACAGGGTGCTGTTTCAATTAATCATCTTTGAGGAGTAAACTACAGATATCTAAAGGTCCTTTTCCACAAGAGTATCCATTTAGGGTTATAATACTTCAGTGAATACTTGGGTATTCACTCAGTTTGATTTGCTTTGACTCCTCTGGAATCTCATGAAAGAGAACTTCTAAGACAACGGGACAATGGGAATTTCTCCACAATTATTATATTTCCCTTACGGGCATTGATGTCTACCATGAGTTATTTTTCTGATGTTTACAACTCAATTTAATGGCCTGGAAATGTCTTCTTCAAATTGAGGGGAAAACCAAGGAAAGGTTGCAGCTGATTGTTGTATTTTTCTGCAGGCACCCACAGCTGACATATCCAATACCTTGAAGCACTGTCTGTTTTGATGTCAATGTCTTTTTAATATCCAAGGTCTTTTGGGAAAAGAGGTTTTTCTGCCCCCTGAAAAAGCGAGGCTGCTTGTTTTGCCTCTTTTTTTCTCTGTTCAGCAAAACCTCACATGAGATGCTCCAAGCAAGCCTGGTTTTGAGAATACACAGGTGATCACCTCACAGCTCTACGTGGTTTTTGTAGTGGAATTTATTTTCTCTGGCATTTCTTTTCTCTGTTTTGTTGGTTTTTTTTTTTCCTCTGGAAATTTTCTTTCTTTTAATTCTCTGGAAATTTTCTTAAACTCTGAATAAGTGTCCCAAGCAATCTATATGTAACAACTATTCTTCCTAATGTTATCTGAATTAAGGAAAGATCTGTAGAGTACCTGTGTTCATAGTCAAATAAATCAGGGATACATTTGCTTGAAGCTTCCTTTATTATTAACCCTCTATATCCTGAAGATATTAGTTCTCCTGTAGAAGTTTGGGAGGGCTCTCATATGAGATCACTTAGCATTTGTTAATTCTAACTTAAAGCGTACAAAAGACTGGTGAAACCACTAGAGATCAAAGGAATAAGAAAAAAAGCCCAAGGCATCTTTCCTCTCCACACAAAACAATACAGGCCACTGTATTAATCACCTCCTCAAGACTTCTGTGCTCCTACCAGCCTTTAATCAAACCACCTCATCGCAGCACCGCTGAGGCAGCAGTTTGCTGGGACAATGCAGAAGCAAACGTGAGGAGTGACAGCCTCTTCTCCTGGAGGGGAGCAGTATTAACATCTCTGCAGGAACTAGACAATGTTCCAACGAAGCTGAGCTGCTGGGAAAGCCTGAAATTGAACTTTACATTTCAGGTTCAAACTTGTGCCCAATTTGCATCTGTGTAACAAAAAGTTGCGATGTGAATTAGTAAACACTGGCGGAATGGCCTCATGTTCCTTGCTAATCCAGACTGTGCAGACAAAAAGAGGGGTAAGATTTTGCCTTTTTTGTTGAAGTTACACAAAATCAGCCAGTTACCAACAATAAAAATAAAGTAATTTAACTGATCCACTCAAGGTAACTCCCATTAAGGACATTTTAGAATCCAAGTTAGAGGGAAAAAAATGAACAGATTGAAATACTTCAGTATAACACTCCACACCCTGAGATCACACACTAAAATCAATAAAGTTGTAGCCATCTGATGTCTATTCTGGAATGTAATCTTGGCTGATGAGCTGTGCCTTGCCCATCTCTGAATTTGCCCTTTAGGACATCATTTTCCAATTAGCTGTTTTAATAGGACTCCCAAATGAGCTTTTGTCTATCATGAATTCATTGTTCTGAGCTGCAGTTCTACGCTGCTGGAGGCTCCCTGTTCTCAAACTGTAATTCCCAGCAGTCGTTTTCCCCACGTGTCCACAATCATCAAAAAACCTCCACAAAATACTCACAGCAGTTGGTCCAAGCTGCAAGAACTGATGGATATTGCAGCACTGAGCCCCTCCAGCCCTGCAATGGTGTGGTCAGCCTGGAACATGTCATGTGGCTGTGACACCACACTGTCACTTAGAGGGGAAATTCTCTGCTGAGGTGGGACTGGCAACTTCCACCCAGCCTTTCATCCTCTTGTGTAACATATCACTGAAAAGGGACTGCTGTGAGCGTAAGTAAAACCCAAGAGATGTGGAGCAGGCCAGGTGGATTTGTCCCTCTGATGGAGTAGGAATGGCTGAGCAAGTGACAGGCAGGTCTTTCCCAACAATTGGTGTTGGTTGGAGGCTCTGAGGACAGTTCCCGGAATTGCTCAGTGACACCCCAACTCTACAGTTCAGTGCTGAACAGGAGTCCAGTGTCAGGGAAAAATATATTAACAGATGAATCAATTATTCAGCTAAGCTTAGGATTATCTGAACTAACCTGGCCATTTAAGATATTTACATCTGAATTATTATTAGACATGACAGCAGAGTCTGGAATCTACTACAAAAAATTAGCATGGGATCCCAAAGGATTAAAAAAAGAGTAAACAAGGATCCTGCCCCTTTAACATTTACATTCCTGAGTGTCTTATACTGGTATAGAAATTATAGTTATGCATCACCAACATACTGTGCTAGGAATTACCCCAAAACCTCAAACTACAATTTGATGACTCAGGAGGAAGACTTAAGGCAAACAGAGGTAGTAAAGAAGATGAAATATTAAGTTTAACTTGTCCTACTTAACAATTTGGGACCTTATTATTATTATCACACTGTGGCACTTAGGATATGCTGCTTCTGCAATTTGCACTAATTAGACACAGGGAAGGCAGAGAGATGCCTTCATAGCACCAGAGAATTCTCCCAACCAAAAGGAACATCCCAGTAGGACTCACAAAGGTCCTTGAGGAAAAGGCAAACAAGTAGTTAAAGCCCTCATGTTGTCTGGAGGACAACAGGGCTCAGTCTCTGACAGAAATAGCCAGGGATAAACCACAAATCTTTGTTTCCACTGGCACTCCAAGAAAACACATCTCAGCCCAAATCCAGCTGTCAGCCAACCCCTGCCCTCACTTCACCTTTGTCTCCTTCTTCAACTTGGCCCTGTGTTTTAAGCTCTTCTTAAACAGAAAGAGAAGGCAAATTCTTCCTTCAAAAATATAACAAACTTAATTAAAATATCAATCCACCTTCACTGCAGAATTATGATCTGGTGGGGCAATGCAGGACAAACAATAAAATCCAGGAGATTTTATTCTATATAATGTCCTTACAGTAACCCCAGAAATGTTTCTATGCCAGGATACTCACACCTGAGTAATGGAAATTCTAAAATTATATCATAAATAAGAAAAGACCAAAGTATCAAAGTAAGAGTGAGACAAATCTTCAGCTTAATGATTCACTCGAGTAAATCAAACCTAAAATCAGGTCTCTGTTACAGTGATCATAGATCTGGTGGGCATACAAGGATCATTCCAGTTATATATGAAGGCTACACAAATAGTCTTTAAATGACAAATATAACATACACAACCTACTACCAGTTTTCTGACAATTATTTTAAAAAAATGTTAAAACTAACAGAGCAACTCCCTTTTAAAAAGGTGAGATGATGCACTGGCAGAAGCATTTAGGGGGTCTGAATTTAGGAGGGGCAGCCAAGTAATGTGGCACATCCCCAAGAGCACATGTAATTCCTGGCAGATCAGTGGCATTATGTGACTGCTTCTGTTCTTGCCTATCACCACTCAGGAACAATCAATTATTGACCTATTTGCTTTCTAAAGACACAGCCCTGGACAAGGCAGAAGACCTGCATGGAAATATCAGACGCTTGGTTTTTATTTAGCATGACTGGAGCTCTTGAGAGAGATAAAGTACAACTATGTTGTTAAACACAATGTTGTGTTTTAAACAGTGGCAAAACATCATAGATTAAAAGCTGCCAAAATATCCATTTTATCTTGGTACTGACAAGATATTCCCACAGCATGCAAAGAACTTGCTTACAGAAGACACTAGACAAAGAAAGCTAGAGCATAAATTTACATTATCTTGACCAAGTAAATGGCAGAAAAGTTTTGAGTATTAGTGAAAGTTTTAATAAATCAATCAGAAACAGGGGAATCTTACCAGCACTCGATCTCCAATTTTGAGCTCCCTTTCTCCTTTCTTTAGTGATCCAGCTTCTGAGAGGTTTGATATAGATTCGCTGGCAGTTTTGGAAAGATTGCTAATCTGAGAAGGAGTTGCATGTTCCTTAGCAGCAAGAGGGGTTTTCTGTGGAATTCCTGAAGGGGGGAGTGCAGCGGTGGATGACACTGCACTAGCAGCTGATGTGGATGTTGGGGACGTGGCTCTCGAAGCATGAGCTGTCTGGGTACCGTTGGCTTCATCCTCTGTCACCACTTTCCTGGTCAGTTTGGACGGCCTTGTGAATATTCCCCTCAGGGGTTCACACTGGAAATAGCGAACTCCAGCCACTGAGCCATCGTTCTTCCCGATGGGCTCATCCAGGACAATCCCTGCCCACTGCCCCGGGGCAAACTGTGTTTCCCCCAGGAACTGAATGAAACCGGGTTTGTTCCCATTGACCCAAACGCGCTCCCCAACTCTGAAATCATCCACAAACTCCTCATGTGCATCTGCAGGGGCTGTGCTTGAGGTCCTCTCACTAGGAATTGTTTTTTCTGCTGGAGCTGGAAACAAAGCACAATGAGAAACAATGGGAATCAAATACACTAATATGCCAAAGAGCATCATTACTTAGTTTCAAAGTAACAATGTCCCTAATTAGGAGATCACAAATCCTAATTTTTCTGTGCAAATGCTGTAATCTCTGGAAAAAAATAATTCAAAATCTAAGGACAGACACACTGAATGCATTTCATGAAGGTTTTTGTAAAAACCTTGTAAAAATCACAGGTCTGACTTCAAAAACTCCCAAAACATTTTTATCACGAAAAGGTTTCTTTGAGGAAAATTGCTTGATCTCCGATTAATAACCTTTAGATTTTTTGTAAGTTCTACATACCATTTTTTAAAATCAGAAATACAAGCAAAAATACACCAGTATAAAGAGTAAAAATAGCATATACAGCATTCAAGGTACTTTCTGTCAGAAGATGAATAAGGTAATAATGAGGATATTTAACTATTCCTTACCAGCAGCAACAGGTGCAGGTGTTTTCAGCAATGTACCCCCGTGCTTGATGGTCTTTGAAGGAGCCTTAAGTCCACTTGGTTTTAACATACTCATCTTTTTGCAATACCAGTGGTTATCCTCCTCGTCTGTAGCAACTATCTTTTTCTGAACATGGAGAAATATATTGTTCAAGCTTTTTCAACTCTGGAATAAACCTGTATATAAAAAGTTCAGACATGAGCAAAGTCAGTGTTAACTCCTGCAGAAGGGATTTTTATATATGCACAATCTGTGTATAAAATGCATTATAAAAAATGCTTTCCAGTAGGAAGCAGCAGCATTTCCAACTCCCCATCTTTTGAAGCCTACTTCCTATTTAAAATCTGAATCATCAAAAGAACTCACTTTGCTGAGTGCTGCTGTATTTATCTGGAGATTTAAACTAAAAGACTATTTTAAGAAAGAAAAACAAAGCCCTTAACAGCATAGCTAACATAACACATAGATTTAACTGCTGCACACACACAACTGTTTTCAGTCACATTTTTCCAGTGTTGCAACATCCCAGCAAAACCAACTTGAGACTAGAGAAAAAACAGCAAGAGAAATCAAGACAGCCAGGAATTTGAGGATAAAAGGAGTAATGTTTCTAAGAGATTGGAACTGAAAAGCTTAAATTGTTTAAGAGTTACATGATGACAACTGAAAAGCAAAGAGCCACCTCAGCTCTCTGTGACCTCAGATCACAAGATACGCTGGCTCGCAGTCCCCACCAGTGCCCCAGCTAAGAGGAGGGACTCTTCCCAGCGTTGCTAGGATAGAACTTGGAAGCCAGCAGCTCAAAGCTTTTCAGGGAACTGTTTTGCCACGGAGGCATCTTCTTTCTGATTACAAAAGCTTCAGAAAAGCTTTTTCATCTCTAAGGAAAAATCTGTATTTTTTTACCTTGAATGCGAAATCAAAGCCAAACTTCAAGGCGACTGCTCTCGCCCCTCTTCAAAGGAATAAACTATTCTGTGTGAACACAGCTTGGCTTTGTGCTGACTTTTATATGAGACACTGCCAGAAAAGCAACACCACTTAAACAGCAGCAGCACACACCTAAACACAAACCTGAAGGGGAAAAGGAAACGGGCACGCAGTGAGTTTGCTCAACTGTTTGCTCAGAACACGTCAAACAAGAACTACAAAGCAGGTCTCAGTCCTGCCCTTTACTCAGCACTCTGGCACCTGTCAGGACAGAAAGTTGTGCAGCTGCAGCCTCCCAGGGGTGCAAACTGGGAGCTCAGCACCCAGTTAAAGGTAAAACAAACCTGCCAGGAGAGACAGCTCTGCTGCAGCAAGGAGAACCAAGGGGAATAAACCAACCCTATGTTTATGTACCAGTCTAAGATCTATCCCTCCTGTATTATGAATTATTAATCAGCATTCCTAAAATTCTATTCACTGCTTCGTGAACCTAAACACCAAAGTGAAACATTCCTTATGCTATTTCAAGACCTGCCATCCCAAATTCAAGGCATTTTCTAAGTCTGTAACAATGTTATATTTTAAAAAGCATGAATTACCACCTTGGATGTAATTGTGTTTGCCGACAATTTGAGTTCTGCTCCATGAAAATGATGAAGTGCTGGGAAGATTTCTGAACTTTTTTTTCTATTGCTGCCAGAAGTTTGTCACCCACCTGCCTGCAGAGTTATGACTCTGCATCATATTTCCTTATCTTTGGTTTTGGAAATCTTCTAGAACTGCACTTTGATCTTAGACACCAAGGGCCTGAAAAGCTTTCTTTTCTCTTAAAAATGTGCTCTCTTCCTCAGTCTGCAGGCCCTATTCCCTCCTCTCCAGTTCTAGCATATCCATGATCAATTCCCTTATTTTCCTCAACCCATCAAAATCCATACAGAAAAACTGTTCAAGATAAAGAAGGATTTGGTACAAATAAAGAAACAGAAGAAGCATCATAGTCAGTCGTTTTTAGTTCACAGTCAGTGCCAAAAACCAAACTGGTGGAAATTTGGGCCAAGGGGAGTCCACCTTAAGGAAATTTTCTCCTAAAGCCTGGAAGCCGGAACTGTTCCCCAGCACTTTTCCATACATCACCTCTTTTTTGGCCCCCAAAGACCATTCCAGCACCACCACAACTGCATTGTGCAAGGACATGTATAGCAAGAGAAAGCACACACTACATTACTACCCAAATTAGACTTTGCCAGTTTCAGTTAATTATTTATTAATAGATGGTTAACAAGCCTCTGCTCAACAGAAAGTTAGAATGTTCTACCACTGCATTTCTTGGCTCAGGGTACTCATTCATAGTTTAATCTTGCTCTCCACAGTCATGGGTTATATATTTGCTGTGTCATTTGCTTTTCTCAACACACAGGCCTTCAACTAGGCCAGAAGTAACACAATCCCTCATGTTCTGGTTTCAGAGGTACTGAAATTGTAGCTTAATTCAGAAAAAAAAAAATCAAAGCTAAGATTACAGGCAACACTTTTTGATAAATGACTGCCTCACTGCAATATTTAAAATGCAACTGCTGGTCATAGGGACAGGGCCTTTGAAGCAGCACTGCCTAATGAAGCTCATAAAACACGTAAATTTGCATCAAGTGATTTTGAGCATTACACACTCCAACATATCCTAACAGGCTCCAGATGTCAATGATCTCATTTCAATTCTCATAAAAGACAGCAGCTCACTGCTTGTCTCAATTTGTTCTCTCCTCCCTTGAATCTGTCTCAGCTCTCCTGAAAAAGGATCCTTATAACCAATATTACTGTGTCCCAAAATATCCTACCATGAACCTAAGAGAAGGTTGAGAAAGCCTCTGATAATAAATTCCACTGAAGTGTTCCACCAACAACAAAACTGAGCACAAAAAGTGATTTTAAGCAAAGGCTTTTCACTTGTGACATTATTGGAAATATATGACTACACACAATATGAATTTTAACTGATTAATGATATCCTTATTCTTATTTACTTAAGGATTGCATGGATCAAGGAACAAGCTGGGAACCATTGGTGTAAGTAAATAAATCCTACTAATGTGCTATGTGGTAATAGATACAAATTCTGTTCGCAAGTTGATATTAAAATAAACAAATAAGATGTAGCCACATAATTACAAAATTACAAAAGCAGAATATTTTCCAAAAAAGGAATTCCTATAATAAAAGAAAGCAGCTGTCCAATGTTCCTTTCAATACTATTTTCAACAAACAGTGCTCCAAAAAGAAATAAATTAAGTAAGAACACAGGGAGAAAAGCCTCATTCTACTTAACCCTGTAGTCACTACAAGAATTTAGGAGTACCAGTGGAACCACAGAATAGTTTAGGTTGGAAAAGACCTCTAAGATAATTAAGTCCAGCTTTTCCTAGTTCTTCAAAACACTTCATATTAAAAAGATTAATATTTAACTTAGCTAACACCATTAATAGACTAAGTACTGCTGGAAAATGCCTTGCAATGCCAATGCATTTCCAAGCTCAAAAAGAGACCACTTAATTTGTTCATTGTGCTGAGCATAGAGGTGCTTTGCAAAACACATATAAACAGTCATACTAAAAGACAAAGAGTAAATGTTCTGAAAGGGGTTTGTAGAACAAATAACAAATAACTGCTGAAAAATCTCACAGGGCCCTATAAGCAGAGACCATCACATGCAACCCCTGTGGCAGTCAGTAATAAGCACCTGGAAAATAAATTCCCATGCCATGAAGAAAAGGTGAAATTACTAAAATAAATCAGAAAATCCTTTTGTAGAAAAGCTAAATGGAAAACATATTCCAAAGACCACCATGATGCAGTAACTTCACGTTCCTGAGAGAAAAACAAACTCAGCACAAGAAGCACTGTTTGAAATCTCTGTCTGAACAGCATTTCTTAAATACCTGTTTCATACTTGTCCAGCTGCTGCTGCCAAGCTTGAAGGAGCTCATGAATCATGCCTTAAATATCTGGAGTTTGGAGAAAGTAACTTGGAATTTTGAACCTCGAAAGATTTTGCTCCAGTCCATGAGTTACAACCAAGAGCTCTGACCCTACACAGTTATGAACACAACTCCTAAAATTATTGCAGTCTTAAAACTAAAGCACATAAACATGTTCTCTGTGATTCAGATCTAATTCCTACAGCTCCAAAACCTGTATTTGCAGTCTCCTGGGCTGTTATTACATTCCTGTAAAAAGTGAGTATATATATTTACAAAAGCACTTAATAGTTTTAGTTGAATTTTATAAGCTTTTGAAATTCATACCTGATTTAAAAATACAACCCCATTTTGGCTTTGAACAAAATCAATGCCTTCTCCTTACACTTCTCTATGCTGCTTGCTACCTCTTGGGAGAATATTTCTTTGTGTGCAAGAATGAGCTGGATCAGAGTCAAATTTGTGGAAGATTCTGGGGGGAGTAATTCATGTACAGCAGGTGCACAAACTGACCAGACTGGGACATGGCAACCAGCATCCTTACAGAAACAATTCTGGATGAAGGGGACACAAGAGAAGCTGAATCCTGGAACAAAAATCTTCCTAATCCTTACTCCCCCTCTGCTGCATTCTGGGTCTGTTGGAGAAATTCCTTACTGGGCACCCAAAAAGTCTGAATAACCACTCTGCAAGCAATGGATTACATATACAATGAAATACTGCAGAGCATAAATATCCACTGTAAATGTCTCACTTAGCTTCAAAGCCAGCCCTGTACAATTACAAGTTGCTAAACCAGAAGGATGGATTTGGAAGCCCTCATGCATTCACTTTGCTGAGCTTCTCTGGAGTGATGCAGCACTCTTGATGTTCCTGGCCACCCACTATTTAAATACAACTATTTTGGAGCAATGAACTCACATCCAGGTCTCTCTGCATTGATCCACTGAAGCCAGACAATGAAAAGGCAAATGAACTTCTCTCTGCCCTCACTCTCCTGACTTACTGCAAATTCCATGTGTTTTGTCAGCTCTGATGCATTTATTGAATGAGCAGCAAGTTCAGACTGAAACACACCAGAAAGCACCGTAGGCATTTGTTAACAAAGCGAGGCACAAACAGCAAATTATGGTGGGACTGAGGTAACACCCTCTGCAGAGGCCACTGTTAAACCAAACTGAGCATCTGAGCATCACTCGAGGATTTAACTGCACTGCTCAGGGATTACATTGTGGAATTACAGGCATCTTCAGGTATCAATCACACTGAAACTA